CCGATGACGATCCCGGTCTTGATGGTGAGAGCAAGATGAGTGCCACTGAAGTAAAACATGTTTGATGAAGGAGGGTTCACTCCATTTGGCAAATGCCCAATCTACATCAGAAAACTAAAAGACCAAACACACAAAAAGAATGAATCTCTATCTCTCTCAGTTTACAAAAGTTGTTGAAGAAACATGTAAACGTCCTTACAAAAGAGATGACATGTGTCTTGTCTCTCATAAGGAACATCAGAAGAGTAGAGAGAACAACAGAAGTCAATGGTGCTGCGGCCGATACCCAGAAAAGCTTCGGCCTTCTCATACTCTGTAACGTTTTAAAATCGCATAAAGTTTAAACCTTTAAAAGCAACCGAGAAACTCAGTTAGTGTCGGAATCTATAAGTACTTTACTTACTATATGCCTTGCTGTTAAGAGGAAGCTCAAGAACCCAAAACCCATTACAATGTTTTGCCAATACCACTGTCAATGAAAGCAAAGTACATACATTATTCATTTGCGAAGACGAAATGGATCCTTTTCAATGTCCAATATTTTATTAACCATCGGGGTATTTAATGAATTTGTCTTATCCATATGGAATCATTTTAGTATCCGTTTTGTATAATTAGATTGATGTAAAATGATTCCATCTTTCAAAAGATCTATCTGTAACCCAAGACAATATTTGATTTGTCCAAAATCTTTCATTTCAAATTCTCCTTTTAAATAAGTAGATGCATCCTGGATTTCACGAGGAGTTCCAATAATATTTAAATCATCAACGTATACAACAATCATCACAAACCCAGATATCATCTTTTTGATAAATACACGTGGTGATATATGATCATTTGTATATCCATTTTTTAATAAATACTCACTCAGGCGATTATACCACATACGTCCTGATTGTTTTATCCCATACAATAATCGTTGTAACTTGATAGCACGTAACTCTCATGGTTTTGATTTCAATGTTTCGGACATTTTAAATCCTTCAGGGACTTTCATATAGAGATACTCATGTCAAGTGACCCATATAAATAAGCAGTGACAACGTCCATGAGGTGCATTTCTAAATTCTTTGAAACTGTAAGACTAATTAGGTATCGGAATGTAATGGCATCCATAACAGGAGAATAAGTTTCATCGTAATCTACTCCTGGTCTTTGGAAAAAACTTTGTGCGACAAGACGAGCTTTATATCTTACAATTTCGTTGTGCTAATTTCTTTTCCGCACAAATACCCATTTACATCCAACATGAGAAACTTCTTTCGGTTTAATAACAACATGTCCAGGTACCTTTCACTTATTAAGTGAATCTAATTCAGCTTGTATTGCGTCTCTCCATTTATTCCAATCCGGTCTCTTTTGACATTCCGAAATAGATCTGGGTTCTGGATCCTCATTTTCATCAATTTTCTTTGATATATTATAAGAGAATATATCATCAACCTCTTTGATTTCTTTTTGATTCCATAATGTACCATTACTTATATAATTAATTGAGATCTCACGATTTCCATTATCTGGATTTGTACCATCATCACAAGGTACTTCATTTCTTTGATTGGAAACGCGTTCCTCCGAGTCGAGCATTTCATTTTTCTTGGGCCCTTTGCTCTTTCGGGGTTTTTGTCTTTAGAACCAATAGGTCGTCCACGTTTCACGCGTGTTTTGGAATCGTTTGTCGAATTTCCTTTCATTTGTTCTTTCGGAATTTCAATCCGAGTAGGAACATTTGCAATATCTATATAATATCTTATTACCCTAGTTCTATCTGCAAACGTATCAGGTAACTGATTTGCAACATTCTGCAAATGTATAATCCTTTGAACTTCTAGTTCTCGTTGTTTTGCTGGGAGATCAAAGTGGGATAATGAACGTGTACATCAATTAAGATCATTTCCATTTCCCACTATTCTATAATTTTCTCCCCATAATGGTGGGATTCAATTTCATTTAAATGACAATCAGCAAAATGAGCCGTAAAAATATCTTCAGTTTGTGGTTCAAGATATCGTATAATGGATGACGAATCGTACTCAATATATACTTTCCAAAAATTCATGCCCGATTTTGACTTGTGGTGGTCTAATTATTAATTTTCCTCTAGAACATGCATCACAAGAAAACTCATCCGATTGAAAAATCTTCTGGTTTTTCAATGAATTGACCATAAAAGTTTTCGATGATTTTTCTCATCATAATGACACCGGGTGACCCAATCGATCATGTCAAACTTTGAACGTATCAGTAAACTTCTGATTTACTATAACATGTGATTCAATCACATTGATATTAGTATAATATAATCCTGATGATAGAATGAGTAGTTTTTCCAACACATACTTTTATCCCGAATTGATTAGGTGATATATATATATATATATAAATACTTAGTGTCATCTTCATTCATAGTTTCAATATGATATCCACAGATTTAGCCATAGTCTTTTTCTACGAACAAAACAACATGACAATCATTAAAAAATAGATATATTAATAATACATAATAGCATTACTAACTTATGAAGTAAAAATAGTGATACAAAGCACAACATATCGTGAAATTATTTATACATGAAAATGCATATGTAGATAAGATTGATTATATGAAGTATGCAAATATTTATATAGTTTTTATTCATAATCGGCTCAATCTTCAGGATGGGCAAAATCATCAGCAAGGTCCATGTGTGCTAGCACCACTAGCATCATCACCATAATCACTCATGACATGATTAGTCTCCATGTCTTTCCCTTTTGTTTCTTTAATCGACTTCTGATAAAGTTTCACCAGGTGTTTAGCGGTCAGCAAATACGCGACCAATGTCCCGTCATTCCACATCAGTGACGTACTTTCTTTCATCTTTTTATTTGGATGATCATGTGTTCCCCTTTATTACTGTTAAAATTATGGTTTTGGGATGAGTTTTCTTGATCACCTCCTCTGATCCATCTTCAGTTAGTACCACGACCGCGTCCTCGGCCTAAAAAATAACCACGTCCTCGACTATTATAAGATACTAGGGAATGATATTTTTTCTGTAGCATTCGCTTCATGAAATGGTTTGTTTTCTGTAGCATTCGCTTCAGGGAATGGTACAGATCCAGTCGGTCGTGATGCGTGGTTTTTTATTAACAACTCATTATTCTGTTCGGCCAATATGAGACACGATAAAAGCTCTGAATATTTTGTATACCCTTTTTCTCGATATTGTTATTGGAGTATAATATTCGAGACATGCATTGTTGAGAAAGTTTTCTCCAACATCTCATTTTCGGTGACTGTTTCTCCACATAATTTCATAATCGAAGTGATTCGGTTCATTGCCGAGTTATATTCACTTACATTATTAAAATCTTGAAATCGGAGATGCATCCATTCATATTTTGCTTTGAGGAGGATCACTGTTTTTTGATGATCAAAACGGTCTTTTAATTTTATCCAAAAATCTGCATGGTCTTTGATTGTCAAATATTCCTTTTTCAGATCATCATGAAGATGATGTCGCAGTAATATAAGTGTCTTTGTTTTATTCTCATTTGATGCACCTTTTTCTTTAATGGTGGTACCAAGACCTTTTGATTCGAGGTACAGCTCAGCATCCAACTGTCATGATAAATAATTATCACCTGATATGTCCAGGACCTCGAACTCGATATTTGTCATTCTTGTCATTATGACTAAACAAAAAAAAAGCCATACATTAGCTTTATTCATTATCATTGATAAGACAACATAGCGAAATACATGTTTACGTATAAATTGCTATAATTAGTAACACGTAAACAAGAGGTAAGATTGCAACGCAAATTGAAAACAGAAATGGATCAGAATTTTTGTCGAAGAAAATACTAAACGTTGCTACTAAAACTGTTAGGATAAAGAGAATTTTAATAAAATTCACCTTGAGAGATTTTTTTTTGATTGCTGGGATGATGGATTGTCCACATAGTCGGAAGGGGGAGAATTGTTGAATTCTCCCATGTGTACAAGATGTGGAGGTGGAGAAATTGCTCTTCAAAGTTAGGCACCTCCATTTGACATTGAGCCACCATTCTTGAAACCATCATCTTTGAAGAGACCTTTGTTGAAATTTGTAGCCATTTTTGTTGAAGAAATTGAAGCAAGAACCTCATAAATAGAGGAGTTTGGGCGTGCATATGGATCACAACAACAAGAAGGAGAAATACAAGAGAGAAAGAGAGAAAGGGAGAAGAAGAGTGAAAAACAGTTTTGAGCGGTGTTGATCAAGTGATCGATCGGATCGTCCGATCGATCTAAAATTTTGTGGAGATCTTCTACACTCTTTGTTCTTGATTCTGACCGGTTGGATTTTGATTTCAACGGTTAGAATTAAAGAAACGAAGGTTTTATCGAAGCTGTTCGTCCAGAGGTTTCAAACCGCGGCATGTCTGATTGCCGTGAAAATCAGACGGTGGATTCTTCTCCGATAGAGGTGAAATTTGGTATGCTCGTTCTAGACCCTCTCCTCTTTGATTTGTATGGTGGGATTTTGCATTGGTTACCGGAATCAGAATCTACAGGGTTGACTTACTACCTAAGTTACAGCTGGTTAAGTTGTGCTCTCTTGGAATATTGATGTTAGAATATTGACGTGTATATTCTATAACTTTGGGTGTGTTTTTTTGTATACAGAAGGTTGTTGTGTGGACGTTGTAATCCAATTATATTAGATTTTTTGTTGGACTACGGTCCTGTAGTTTTTACTCCTCACAGTGAGGGGGTTTTCCACGTTAAAAATTGTTGTCTCGTTTGATTTCGATACCGTTGCACTAGATATTGTCGTACTCATAGGTTTACACAAGTAAGGGGTTCGTGTTACTGATCCGTGATAAACGATCGAAGTAACGTAAAATCTCCAACAAAAAAATTTAAAAATAAATATTATTCGATTAAAAAACAATACGATATTTATCGTCAATTGATTCGGAAGACTGGAGTCGCACTTCATCCTGATACACAAGCCATCAACATGGATGATGCATGATGGAATGATCGTATTAAGGTAATTTCTATGTAATTCTTATCATTATATACATATTCTCAAATTTAAAATCTAGACACGATAAATATATTTATTTAACATTTTATATATATTTTTTATAGGATATCGGATGTTGCAAAACTACAAGCACACCCGTTTATCGATATCGATATATTAGATCGAATATTTGCAAATAAGCACATTGGTACTGATGATGGATATTATCCAGGAGCAGGAGTGAATCAACATGTCGAGTCAGAAAACCCAAGTGAAAATCTGCTAGAGACCGAAGACATCGACGATGATTCCGATATGCCACTAGATAATATGAAGGTCCAAACGGTTATATGGTAAATCTTCACACTCTTCTTCGTCATCACGTAAACGTTCAGCATCAAAAGTTCCGTTCGATTATGTGACTAATGAAGCTTACATGAAGCGGACAGAAATATATGAATGTTTACATGATGATAAATTAGAACGTGCAATTAACTCATTGGTTACCTTCCCCAATATTATTTATAACTCGTCTTTATATTGAGAGGCAATAAATGTATTCCAAAGCAGCGAGACACATGCTCGTGTTTATTTGACTTTGCCAGATGAGGAAGCTCGCGTTTCTTATCTAAAGCGCATGGCATGAATCAAACGGACGGATGTTTAGATTGATCGAGGAACTACTATATAAATAAATTATTTTTTATGTTTTTATGTTATCTAATAAGTATTTTTTTTATCTTGATTTTACATTTTTATATTTTTTTATCAAATAAGTATTTGTTATCATTTCAAGCTTATTTATTTACATGTTTAAAATCTTTAGATCATATGTTATTAATTTAATATAACTTTTTATATTCATCGGATGCAGATGCTCTATAGAATAACTGAAGATGATGAAGAAAATGATGATAGCATCTTCTTTGAAGAGTCATACATAGATCATTTTTCAGAGAGTATGCCAAGACAATTGATGAATCTAGATAAAAAACGTGGACGATGGTATGTCCATGAATTAATTCACGGTCACGAAGAACAATGCTACAATATGATCAGGATGTATCCACCGGTCTTCATATCATTATGTCAAAAATTAGGGAGTGACTATGATTTGAAGGGAACCGATATAATCAACATCGAGGAAAGTGGCCATTTTTCTTAATATTTGCGGTCAAAACATAACGCAAAGGTATGCTGGAAAGGTATTTGGTCATGCACAGGAGACTGTGGGTAAAAAATTTCACGAAATTTTAGATGTTCTCGAACGTATGGCCGTTGATTTATTAAGCCTAAACCAGATGAATTTACACAACCTCATCCGAAATTGCAATCAGATAGAAGATTTTGGTCGTATTTTAGAGGTTTCATTGGTGCATTAGATGATATTTATATTTTTGTTACTGTTGGAGGATATGATGCACAACGATTTTGGTTTTTAGTTTAAAAAATATTAAACTTTTCAAGTGATCCAAAAAATATATAAATTTTTATACGATTATAAAAAAATACTAAACTTTTATCTGATTAAAAAAATATATAAATTATATACAATTGTAAAAAATACTAACGATAATAATTTAACGTGTTTATAATTTAATATTTATTTGATAAAATCAAAAGTTTAGTATTTTTTTTAATTGAAATTCAGTGTTTTTATTCGAATTTTATCAAAAAATATAACTCGTAAGAAAAAAAATTGCAAGAGGCCCAAACGCAGTGGCATTCTCGTAAATCTTGTACTTAGTTCGTAAGCTTTTTTTTTTACTTCTTAAAAAAATTCTCCCAGCCCTCATTTCTTTGCAGAGTTCTTTCCTAACGTCTCTCTTCTTCGATCTCCGATCTGCAGATTGAGGCAGCCACGAGATCGAGTAGCTTAACGTCCTTTCCGTCACTCTCTATTCATAAAAATGGTGGGTAGTGAGATCTCTCTCCTTTTTGTTTCTTCAGATCTCGAGTCAACTTGTTGCGATTCGATGTTGATTTCTGCTTTTGCACTTGTTTTTAAGCCTAATTCGAGCGTGTAGATCATGGAATCGAGAATGGTTTGGTTTTTATTTTTCGATTTGTTCAATCTGTTGCGATGAATTTGGAAAATGTCGCCGTTTTGTGTTGTTGCTGATGATTGTAGTTTTCACGAAATCGATTGTGGTTTCCGGCATTGGTTTTCGGACTCAGATGCGGATCATTCATTTTTGAATATGAGAAGAAGATCTGGTGTCTTGTGGGTTTGGCTGCATCATCGATTATCTTTCGTATTAGTTTTTAGTTGTTTCCGGTGATTTGCTAGGTTTGAGTTGCGTGTTTGATCTTGATCAGACGGAAAGAGAATTTGATGAACTGTTGATTCGAAAGCTTCCTACTTGAAACCAAACAAATGATAAAAGTACTGTGTTTTCGATCTGAGATCTTTGTTTCTGGTGGGTACTTACTGACTGTTGTTTTCCATCTTTTTGTTGCAACAGCCGCTCAGACTCGAGATCAAGGTATCGTTTCAAACTATAAAATGTTTTGGGATCTCTTTATTTTCCTGTCTTTGGTTTTTTTATCAGTTGGTTTTCTACTGTGGAATTCATTGCTTGCATGCTTTCTACAGAGGAAGCTTGCTCAACGATCAGAGAGAGTTAAGTCTGTGGATCTGCATCCAACAGAACCATGGTACATGAATTCGACTTTGATAGTGCTGTCTTGCTTGCTTGGCTTTATCTTTTATGTTTATATATATATGTATATATGTGTATGTATATATATATCCGTCACTTTTGTAGACTTTTTGTTGTGGAACTATAACTAGTTTTATTGCTTCTACGTTTGCATCTTCCTCTTTTATGTAACTGAACTGACTGAAGGGTGATGTTACAGGATTCTGGCAAGTTTGTATTCTGGAACCTTGTGTATTTGGAACTACCAGACGCAGGTATGGTGGATACTTTGGTGGTGTTTATCTATCTCGTTATTCTTGTTCTTCTAACAAACAGCTAGTGACATGAAAGGACCAACCAAAATTAGAAGTGGAAATCTCCTTTCTTTTGCTTCCTGCAAGCTTTCAAAGAATTGGTTTAAGTCTTTAAGGCACTCTTGCGAGATACATGGATTACCCTCTAACTTGATTCTACTATGATATTGTCAGGCGGTAGCAAAGTCCTTTGAGGTGACTGAATTACCAGGTATAACAACTCTCTACTTTTCTCACTTTATGTTTCACTTTTTCCTGTTATAGAGCTTTAGCTTGCTTTATCTGTTTGTTACTTCTGAATTTATATGTGAATTTGCAGTTAGGTCAGCCAAGTTTGTAGCACGCAAACAGTGGGTTGTGGCAGGAGCTGATGATATGTATATTCGTGTATACAATTACAATACAATGGACAAGGTTAAGGTGTTTGAGGCTCATACAGATTACATTAGGTGTGTTGCTGTCCACCCAACACTTCCGTATGTGCTGTCATCGTCAGATGATATGCTCATAAAGCTTTGGGACTGGGAAAAGGGTTGGGCTTGTACTCAGATATTTGAGGGACATTCCCACTATGTGATGCAAGTGACAATTAATCCAAAAGACACCAACACTTTTGCCAGTGCTTCACTTGATCGTACCATAAAGGTGTGAAAATGTTTACAGAGGCTAGCCTGCTTTTTGGCTCAAGGTTCTCAAAAGTTTTTATTCATCCAATTTCTATGGTTTTCTTGGCATCCAGATTTGGAATCTTGGTTCCCCAGAGCCGAATTTTACACTCGACGCCCATCAGAAAGGAGTAAACTGTGTAGATTATTTCACGGGAGGTGATAAGCCCTATCTAATTACCGGCTCCGATGATCACACTGCTAAGGTTGTCTTCCCATTAAATTTCTTCTCTCTTTTATGATACGTTTATGTATGGGAATTATGTAACTTCAGAACATTTACTAACTAAATTTTGAGAATCAGGTCTGGGACTACCAAACCAAGAGTTGTGTCCAGACACTGGAAGGGCACACACACAATGTCTCTGCAGTTTGTTTCCATCCTGAGCTTCCGATTATAATCACAGGTTCTGAGGATGGTACTGTTCGTATATGGCATGCCACCACATACAGGTACCTGAGATACAACTAACTATGTTTAGGTTTTGTTGCTTCTTGAATACCCAACTAAACCTAATTGTTGGGCTTCTTACTGCTTTTGACCATGATCTTTTTTTCATTATCCCAGTTAAAAAATCTCAAGAATATTACTATTTCTTGCAGGCTAGAAAACACATTGAATTATGGTCTTGAGAGAGTTTGGGCCATTGGTTACAATAAGGGTTCACGCCGGTGAGTTTTGGGAATTTTGATACCTCTCTCTACTGATAACTCAATGCTTGTTAGGATTGCTTTTCAGGAGTAGATTTTCTCCTTAATAGTTAGTGGCCGGTGCTACAGCGGTTACCAGATATTTGCTTATGCCACTGAATCCCTTTGCCTACATCTGTGATTATTTTTTTCCGGCGAATTTGGTGATTTAAAGAGATTAGGGTGCTTAGATTTTTCAGTAGCTACTAGCTACCAGCCTACTTAGGCCTCTCTATATTTCTCGATTTTTAGTACTCTATTCTATTGAACCTACTGGGCCATGACTGTGGTTTGCGTTTGTACTTTACAGGGTTGTGATTGGCTATGATGAGGGAACCATCATGGTTAAACTTGGACGAGAGATTCCAGTTGCTAGCATGGACAATAGCGGGAAAATCGTATGGGCTAAGCATAATGAAATACAAACTGCAAACATCAAAAGTATTGGTGCCGATCTTGAGGTCTGGGTCATAACTGTAACTTTTGTATTGTGGCTTGGCGTGACCAGGTAAGACATAAGAATCAGATTTTATTTTCTTTGCCTGATGGTTTTATCTTTTGTCTCTCTACTGTAGGTTACCAATGGAGAGAGGTTGCCCCTGGCTGTTAAAGAGTTGGGAACCTGTGATCTTTATCCACAGGTGAGTGTAACTATGCAGCACTATCTGCAATTCTAGGCAATGTTTTGAATTAGTGTATAATCTATTGGCGGTAGCAGTTTCTTTTGCATATCCTACTTCAGGGGGTACGTGGGCATGCATCTTTCAAACAGCCGTATTTACTTCACCTTCTGAGGCTTTTTGGAGCTCCTTGAAAGTTGAAAAAAATAGTTCTATTTGAATTGGAACAGATGGCAAAACTTAACTTAAGAATTTAATTACATACTAAGATTGTGACACATGTATATGTTCTGGATTGATATGTCTCTATCACACTGCCCCTCACATTTAGCTATTCTAACTCTCAGAGCTTGAAGCACAATCCTAACGGGAGGTTCGTCGTAGTCTGCGGTGATGGCGAGTACATAATCTACACAGCTTTGGCTTGGAGAAATAGGTCTTTCGGTCCTGGACTGGAATTTGTTTGGTCATCCGAGGGGGAATGCGCGGTTAGAGAAAGCTCGTCAAAGATTAAGATTTTCAACAAAAATTTCCAGGTTTGTTTTCATTTTTGTGGCATCTCTGTTATGTTTGAACTTAGCATGTTCCTCTAGTCTCGGAGAACTTTTAGACAGCCATGGAATAGCTATTGGCGGGCAAGGTATTCTAACAGACACGATGCTTTCAGGAAAAGAGGAGTGTCCGGCCTACTTTCTCTGCTGAGAAGATTTTTGGAGGAACCTTGCTAGCTATATGTTCAAATGATTTCATTTGCTTTTATGATTGGGCTGAATGTCGGCTAATTCAACGGATTGATGTCACTGTAAAGGTAGAAATCTGAATCAGTTTACTTTTAGACTTTGCTATCAATAATCATGATTTTTTTCTTTTAACATTTTGAGGGAAGTAAATGCCATTATTTTCATTCGTCATGTCCCTTTTTCCCCTTTATTAACACAAGTTGTTGCATGAACCGCTTGCAGAATCTTTATTGGGCGAATGGTGATTTAGTAGCCATTGCTAGTGATACGTCCTTCTACATTCTGAAGTACAATGTGAGTATCCTTTCCAATCTCAAAATCTTTTAGGCTCTGTGGGGTTTCCACACAACACAGGCTTGATTTGACCTGTTACTATGTCTTTTGCTTGCCATTTGTTGAATGCTTACTCTTGTCATTACTGTTGCAGCGGGATTTGGTGTCCTCGCACTTTGATAGTGGACGTCCAAGTGATGAAGAAGGTATTGAAGATGCTTTCGAGGTTCTCCTTGAAAAAGATGAACGTGTCAGGACGGGTATATGGGTCGGTGACTGTTTCATTTACAATAACTCTTCTTGGAGGCTTAACTACTGCGTTGGAGGCGAGGTATTACCGATGTGCCATTGGTAACTTCCAAAATTACTATGTCTTTATGAGCAAGCACCATCATAACAACTGCCAATCATTTAACAGGTGACCACAATGTACCATTTAGATCGCCCAATGTATTTGTTAGGCTATCTTGCTA